GGTTTTTGTGAATGGGATTGTTTTCCTGATTTCTGTCTCAGCAGATTTCTTATCGGTGTATGAGAAAGCTATTGAATTTTGTACATTGAATCTGTAGCCTGCTACTTTGCTGAATCTGTTTATTAACTCTAACAGTGTTTTGGTAGAGCTTTTTAGATCTTCTAAGTAATGGATGATACCATTTTCTAGTAATGATGATTTGAATTGTTTCTTTTCTATTTTTATCCCTTTTATTTCCTTCTTTTGCCTAAGTGGCGTGGCTAGAATCTTTAGTACTATATTAAACAGGAGTGGTAAAAGTGGACATCCTCATCTTGTTATGCATTTTAGAGAAAACGCTTTCACGTTTTCCCCACTCACTGTGAGGCTGGCTTTGGATTTCTTGAATATAGGTATTATAATGTTGAAATAAGTTCCTTCTATCCTTGGTTTCTTTGGTGTTTTTAGGATGAATGGATACTGAATTTTGTTGAAGGCTTTCTCTGCATCTATTGAGATGATGAAGTGAATTTTGTCCTTAAATTTATTTATGTGGGGAATTAAATGTTTGGATTTGTGTGTGTTAAACTGTCCTTGCAACTTTGAGATAAAACCAAGTTGGTCATGATGTTCAATCTTTTTAATATGTTGTTGAATACAATTAGCTAGTGTTTTGTTAAGGATTCTTGCATCTAATTTGATCAGGGATACTGGTGTGTAGTTTTCTTTCTTTGTTGTGTCCTTATGTGGATGAATATGATGCTGGCTTTGTGGAATGAATTTAGAAGTGTTCTATCCATTTCTATTTCACAGAATCATTTGAGGAGCATTAGCATTAGTTCTTCTTGCAATGTCTGGTAGAATTCAGCTGAGAATCCATGTGGTCCAGGGAGTTTCTTTGTTGGAAATCTTTTTGTTCCATACTGAGGATTGAACCCAGGAGTTCTTAACCAGTGAGATACATCCGAAGCCCGTTTATATTTTATTTAGAGAAAGGGCCTTGCTGAGTTATCTAAGGCCTTGCTAAATTGTTAGGTTAGCTTTGAACTCATGGTACTCCTGCCTCAGCCTACTGAACTGGTAGGAATACAGGGATGTACCACCATGCTCAGCTTTAATTACTGCTTCTATCTCACTGCTAGTTATTGGTCTGTCTAGATTTTCTGTTTTCTTCATTTAATTTTGGCCAGTCATAT